GAAAAAAGATAAAAAAATAAAGGCAAACTTTATTTCCCTCTTTCTCATTAAGAGAAACTGGAGCACCTGCATTTGTTAACTTCTTCAATTAGCTGAAAACTTTTAATCTGGGTGTCTTCCACGAGGAATGAACACACACCTGGAACTTCAGCCTAGACCTCACGCAATTGAAAACCTACACAATTTGGTCTCCAAAGCCAAGAGATTAGAATACTGTTCCATCTAGTACATTACTGTGTTACTTTGAGACAAATTTCTTTATCTCTGCTTCCTCAATAAAACAAGGATAACACTATCTTTAAGAGCTCTTAAAACGATTAAATGAAATAGTACATATCAAGCTGTAAGTACAAGACCTGGGACAGAGTGAAAACATCTCCCAAGGGGGCTGGAGAGACGGCCCAGTGGTCTGGGGCTTTCCAGAGGCTTTCATTCCCAGCACCTGCAGGGTGGCTCAAGAGACCAGTTGCAACTCCAGTCCCAGGCGATCTACTGCCCTCTTCTGGTCTCCTTCAGCGCCAGGCACACAAGTGGCGCACGGTCATAATGGGCAAACACCCGTATACATAACTATAACTGAACAGTAGCCTCCCTTTCTAACTCTCAAAGGCTGGCCAAAGACTGGTTCACAGAGGAAGGGCTTAACGATCGGAGGGAACTGCTAGCTCAACCAAAAACGAACCAGATTCCTAACTTCAAAAATAAGGATAAAGCCAGGCATGATGGCACATTCCTAACCTTAGGAAGTGGAGATACAAAATAGGAGGCTAGTACCATTGATCTGAAAATAGTTCCCTGAAGAAAACCCTCTTCCTATTTTCTCATTTCACGATTCTTTGAGGTTCAACATTTCAACAGTATTCTCCCATCCTTTTCCTAAAGCCTGACTCACTCCCCTCACTTTGGTCTTGGAATAACCTAAGCCTCAGCCAGGCAGACACACCCTAGAGCTCCCAGAAATCTCCAGACTTCTGGGAGAAGACCAGAGGCAAAGACGTACGAGCTCAGAAAGAGTCTGTGGCACAATGGAAAAGACGCGGGCTCTGGAGACAGCTTAGGTACTCCCTCTGCTACCTTTTAGATGTATAACCTTGGGCAAGGCACAAAGCCTCTCTGAACCACACTTCTTCCTCAGGAAAACTGGGATAATGCCATCTCCATTTCACAATGTTCCTGTCAGGATTACAGAGATACCTAGGACAATTCCTGGCACATAAAAGACCAATTAATGGTAACTATTATTAGGGCCCAGCTGCCAACTGCCTCACTGAACATGTTGCCAGCTGTACTCTTCTGACTGGCAAGGGATCCACACTGCTCTCCCATTCCCATGCCTCTACCCAAAACATGCAGTTTCAGTAATCTATAATTAACCAAATCAAGAGCTTAAACAATTCAGGGCAAGAAGGCACTACATGGCTCAACTCATTCTCTCCTGACAGCAACCAAGCAAGTACAATGCAGACATGTGTGCCAAGAACAATATGGAGTCTGTCTGAACATGGTCATTGCCAATAGTAACGCAAGCACACGATAGCTGAGGTTCTCAGGCTTGTAGCCTTACCGTCAGAGCGTTTTGACATTTGAAAACCCTCTTCAGTGTTTTCTCCGCAGTGCTAGCACCCATTTCTAAGGACACACGGAAGAAGTGCTCTTAACTGCTGCCACATTCCCTCCTGGTGGAACTTATTTTCCCATTTTATAAGTTACTACTGCTGAGATAGTTACCGAGTTCCCTGAAAGCAGTCTTAGGAGCCTTAAATACGACTCTATCATACCACAAGGTACAGGATGAAGGCAGGGCCAAAGGTAAAATGTGGCCAAGTCACCTGCACCCCACTGTGCTCATTTGGTGGCTACTGAACCTACGTACTTCCTTTGTGTGACTCTTGTGGACTTCCCTTGTGCGGCTGAGCAGAGTAACAGAACCATGATACACAAATAAAAAAAGGGAAGCCATCAATGGAAAAGTGATAACATGAAGATTGTCTGGTAGTTACAAAATAAAATCAACAGTCAAGCTGGAGAGATGGCTCAGAGATTAAGAGGCCTGGCTGCTCTTCCAGAGGTCCTGAGTTCAATTCCCAGCACCCACATGGTGGCTCACAACCACCTGTAATGAGATCTGCCCTGCAGGCACTGTATACTCAGTAAGTAAATGTAAAAAATAAATAAAATAAAATAAAAGTCAACAGTCACCTTTTACGTAGCTAAAGGCGATTTTTTCATCCTAGTGTACCCAGTCCTCTACACACTTTTAATAAAGCAAAAGGGAATCAAGGACAGAATGACTTAACTAGACAATCTAAAAGCAAGAAAGGCTCACCAAATCAAAACATCACTCGGTCCTTCCTCGTGGAGTGACATTCTACTTTCTCCAAGTTTAGTCAATTCACTAAGAAAGCTAAAGATTGTGCTCTTTAAAAACAGCAAGCCACCAGCGTGGTGGCACCTGGTTTTAATCCCAGCTCTTTGGAGGCAGAGGCAAGTAGATCTCTGTGAGTTCCAGGCCAGCCTGATCCACAGTTCAAGACAGCCAGGACTACACAGAGAAATCTTGTCTGAGGGAAAACAAAACAAAAAACACTGCAAGCCAAATGTGGTGGTATATACTTCAAATCCCAGCACACAGGAAGTTGAGGCAGAAGGATCATGAGTTCAAAGCCAGCCTGTTTGGTTGGCCTCAAACTCACTATGTAGCCAAGGATGACCTTGAACTTCTGATCCTCCTGTCTCCAGGTCCCCAGCATTGGGATTACAGGCAAGCACCACCATGCCTGGCTTATGTGTTACTGTGGATCAAATCCAGAGCTTCTTGCTTGCTTGGCTAACACTCAACCAACTGAACCACATATACAACCCCTGAGACCTTGTCTTAAAAAAAAAAAAAAAAAAACAAACAACAACAAAAAACACTTGGGGAGGCAGAGAGGCAGGTTGATCTCTGTGAGTTCGAGGCCAACCTGGTCAACAAAGGAAGTCCAGGAAGTCCAGGACAGCCAAGGCTACACAGAAAAACCTTGTCTCAAAAAAGGAAAAAGAGAGAGAGAGAGAGAGAGAGAGAGAGAGAGAGAGAGAGAGAGAGAAAAGTTCAGGCAGTTGTGGTGGTACACACCTGTAATCTCAGTACTCAGGAGGCTCAAACAGGGAGGTTATACAAGCCAGCCTCAGCTACATAGTTGAGTACACAGGCAGCTTGGGCTATACTTTGAGACCCTCACAAGAACGGGAGGGTGGGGGGTGGAGGAAGAGTGAGAGAAAGGAAGACAAGCTAAGCTCAGCTGTGTCCTTGCCCAAGGCTTCACCTGCTTAACTTTCAGCAAAGAGATGGTTTGGTGTAATTAGCACTGTAAGGCAAGCTCAGCCCTGTCTCCGTGGCCTAGAGGCTGCTGAGTAAATCTAGAATCATGGACCACGATTTTGATACTGAAGAAAGCAGGAAGGTGGCTCAGCAACAAGGAAATGGTCCAAGAAGCACATTTAGAATTAAGTAACAGATTCTAAGGTACTGCTCTGTACTTTTTGGTTTTTTTAAACTTCTTTATATTGAAGAATCTATTGAACCATTACCTAACATGTGTACCTTTCAGAGGGGGTCACAATGACATGTCCTTACGCCAGGAAGAAATAATAAATTCTAATAAAAGCTATTATTTAAGACTCTACTACAGGTACCATATTCTATGTGAAGATCACAAACATTTTTAATCCTTAACCATAGCTACTACCCTCATTTTACAGAAGAAATTACCTGCGGAATTTGCAAATTATGTAAAAGTTAGTAGAAGCGGAAGGGGCACTATCTTCAAACCAGGACTATGCCTGAGTATAAACTTCACACTCTAAAAGTAATTTATTAAAATTTTACCCTTAAAAAAAATACTGAACTAGAAACTTCAGAAAAAAATCATCACAAGAAAAAGACTTGCCCAAAGTTACAAAGCATCTTAACTAGGGAGAAATATGCTTTGGATTTCCTAACTTTTACCTAAGTACTTCCAGCCCTAGCTGGCCTGGCTGCCTCTTTTAACTGTAATTTCTCCACTTACTTATAATTGCGGGGGGGGGGGGATGACGACAACAAAGCATGAAAGACAGACAAAACACGCCCTAAAAGCCCTGTTAAATTCCTTCAGTCTTGCCCCTGACACCATTATCACGACATTTGGGAAGCTGGAATGAAAAAGTTAACTGCCCTATCTAAGTCACGAGGTAGCTACAACAAAATGTTTTGCTGGATCCAAGGTTCACCTAAACCCTACCCAGCAAACCCCGTGTATACTCCACGTCCTTTTTATTGTTGTCCTGACAGGAAAAAACCATTAAAGTACGTAAATCACGGTGTCCATGTCGTGTCTAGGAAATGTTTCTTTTTAGCTGATCCACATCTCGTCTTTTTCTCCTGTGCTGACTTAGCATCGACAGAGGGGAGAAAAACCGACGAGACGGGTAAAGGCTCGCCAAGCACTCCAATGTGTCGCGGGTGCGCGCTTCACTCGTTACTATGTAGGAGGGAAGCTGGGAGCTGAGACAGCCCGCACACGCTCGCCTTCCCGACTCTGCTCACAATGAAGATATGAATGAACTAACTACTCTCTCCGCGTACGACCTGGAGCTCCCGGAGACCCGGGAGCGAAGGAAGCGTCTCCGCACCCTTCCACAGCCACGGTGCAAGGGGGTGCGACGGCCAGAGAGGAAGGGCACGGCGTCGGCACAGCCCGCGGGGCGCGTGGGCCACCAGAGGCCCCAAGTCACCTTCCGAGCGGAGGCCGGGCGCCTCCCCGTCCTGCCCGTCGCCGCAGGGAAGGTGTTCCAGCCGCCGAGCCCGGGGTCCCACGCGGGAGGGCGCCGGGGGCGGAGGGTGCAGCCCCAGGCGCCGGTCCCCCCGGCCGCGTCCGGCGGGGCGAAGCGCGCTGCCCGCAGGCCAGCCGGGCAGGCGCCGGCCCCGGGGGCTCGCTCGGGGCCGCCGCTCGGCCGCCCGCCCCGCCCCGCCCCCGTACCTTCTTGACCGTGCGCGGCGCCTCGGTGACCGTGCCGTCGGGGCTGACCAGGGCCTCGCCGCCGTCGCGATGCCGCTGGTGCTGGTGGTGAGGGTCGCTCCGCTTCATGGCC